ACCCTAAACCCTAAACCCTAAACCCTTAAAGGAGATACAATGGAGGGTTTGAACGGAAGCAGGTATGGCGTGTGAAAAGGAAGGCGCGGAATTAACTGCCAACAAACCCTAAACCCTAAACCCTAAATTGGAGAGAAGGAAGACAGAAAAACGGAAATCCGCTGGGGGTTTGGAGGACGGATAAGGAGAAATAGAATGGATTTAAAATAAATTCAAAAATAAAGAAATAAATAAAATAAATAAAAATAAATGAAATGATAAAAACAAATGATAAATCAGTAAATGATAAATAAATGAATAACTGACACGGCACTAAAAACAAATGCAACCATTCAAAGAAGGGTTTAGGGTTTAGGGTTTAGGGTTTAGGGTTTGGGGCCGATACGGGCATTAGGGTTTAGGGTTTAGGGTTTGGCAGATTTACCCTCTTGCTGCTTGCAGGGTTTTGATAAGTTGTTTTATTTTCCATTGTTCAATCGACTGGTCGAGGTCCGCCATCCTGCACAAACCCTAAACCCTAAACCCTAAACCCTAAACCCTAATTTAGGGGATAAGGAGGAGCTGCTCCTCCCCAGACAAAAGGCCCTGAGCCGCTTCGCCTCGAACTTCTGCTGCTGAAACCAGCTGACTCAAAGCAACAGCAGCAGGAGCAGCAGCAGCAGCTGGGGCGGGAAAAAGAGAAACAATAAATGATAAACAATGAATTATAAATAATAAAAATAAATAAAAGCTGGAGAAGGAGAGAAAGAAAGTGAAAAGCTCTGCTGGAAGGGTTTCAGTGTAGCGGCAGCTGGGGTGTATGTACACCTGACAAAGACCAACAGCAAAAGAACTCTTTCTTTACAAAGTTTAATTACTAAACCCTATCAACAACTAAAACGAAAGAGATAAAACACCCCAAACCCTAAACCCTAAACCCTAAACCCTAAACCCTAAACCCTCGGGTTGCATGCGCTGCAACAGCAGCCCCGCTGCGTCTCCCCTCAACGCTGTTGCTGCTCCAATTGTTTCTTTTCTTTTATTTATTTTGTTTTTCAAATAGAAAATTAAATTTCATTTTACTTTTGTATTTAAATAATTCCAATTGCACTTTAAAACGCTCAACCCGCGCAAATTCGCAGAGCACAGACTGCCGTGCATGCAGCCGGGCTCCGTGCAAACCCTAAACCCTAAACCCTGTTTTAGGGTTAGCGCTTCCACGTCAGTAGCCGCCCAATGAAGCTCAGTAGGCCCTGACACCACGAGCATTGAAACTAGGGTTTAGGGTTTAGCTGCTGCTGCTGGCTGCCAACAGCTCTCCTGCGGGCACATGCCGCAGCACGAGCAGCAGCAGCAGCAGCAACAGCAGCAGCAGCAACAGCAGCAGCAGCAGCAGCACAAATGCAATTCGACAGGAGCAGCGACATGCTAGAGTTTTAAAACTGAAAACAGTAAAATATAAAAATCAGAAATTGATTTTTAAATATTTGCAATTTCGCAAAATGTTTTAAGAACAAACTTTTGCTGCTTCAACTGATAAGTCTGCTGCAGCTGCTGCTGCTGTTGCTGTTGTTGCTACTGTTGCTGGTGTTACTATCGTTGCTGCTGTTGCTGCGACCGTTCCCGTTGCTGTCGTTGCTGCTCTTGCTGCTGCTGCTGCTGCTGGAGTTGCTGCTGCAGCTGCTGCTGCTGCAGTTGCTGCTGCTGCAGTTCCTGCTGCTGCAGTTGCGGGGCACTATTCCTGGAAGCTGCAACTAGTTGAACATACATTTATTTATTTATTTTAAATGAAATTAAATATTTATTTATTTATTTTAATTGTTTAATTTTTAAATTAAAAAAAATCTATTTTTAAAACTACTTTTATTTTAAAGACATAAACAAAACAATTTTATTATTTTTGAATTTAAATTTTGCAAATAGATGCAAAAATTTAAAATGAAATAAATCGAATTCAAAAAGAATTAATCTTCTAAAAATAAAATTAATTTAAAAAGAAAAAGCGAAAATAAAATAAATTCAATTCGAAAGAACTTATAAATGCAGCAGCAAATATAAATGCATGCAAAAAGAAAAAAGAAATTTATTCTTATTTAAAAATTAAAAAGCTGAGATGGTCTCCAAACAAAGAAAAGAAATAATCCTGGAGACCAAGCGTTGCTGCTGCTATTCCTGCTGTTGCTACTGCTGCTGCTGCTCCTGCTGCTGCTGCTGCTGCGGCTCATGCTGCAGCTACTGCTGCTACTGCTGCGGCTGCAGCTCTTGCCGCAGCTGCGGCTGCAGCTCCTGCCGCAGCTGGTGCTGCTACTGCTGCTGCTGCTGCTGCTCTTGCTGCAGGTGCTGCTGCTTCTGCAGCAGCAGCAGCAAGAATAAGATCTGTTTAAGTTTTGTGATTTATTGAATTAGTTTTTGAAGTTTACACATAAAAAATTATTTTTCTTCCTGGCATTTGCAGCAGCACGAAGCCCAGCAGCAGCAGCAAAGCAGCAGCAAAAGAAACCACAAAAGAAGAAAATTGGCAGCAAGTTGAATAAACTAGATAAATGGCAAAAACGGCTACTAGGAGACTCTGCTGCTGCTGCTGCTGCTGCTGCTGCTGCCCTCTCCTGTGCCAAGTTGCTGCAGCTGCCGCAGCACCCGAGCCCACCTGCAGCAGCAACAGCAGCAGCAGAAGCAACAGGTGCAGCGGCAGCAGCAACAGATGCAGCAGCAACAGGTGCAGCAGCAGCAGCAGCAAGTGCAGCAGCTGCAGCACCAGCAGCAGAAGCAGGGGTAAAGGCTCCAGCCAGCAGAAGGAGGAAGGAGCAGCAAATTCAAACAGATATCTATTTAAATTAATTACACTAAATTCAGATTTTTAATTTAATTTCTTTTTGTTTAATTCAATTGAACATAAATGCATTTTAATCTAAAGCAACTCAATTCAATTTAATTTAATTTAACTTAATTAAATCTAATTTAATTTAATTTAATTTAATTAATTAGTTTTAGTATAACAAACAATAAACCATTATTATAAAATAGAATAAAATGAAATAATAAAAATGAATGAAAAGTAATTTAATGAATTGAAATAAAATTTATTTTACTTTAATTAAATGGAAATTAATAGAATGGAATTCAACTCATTTAAATAAATAAAATAAAAATAATTAAAAAAAGCAATTTAATCTGATTCATTTTTAATGAAATATATAAAATAATAGAATAAATGACTATTCTATAATTAAGTTTGACTTAAAACATAGATATACATTATTTTATGATTAAATTAAATTAAATCGCAGCAAGTAAACGAGGGTTTAGGGTTTAGGGTTTAGGGTTTACTTGTAGACTTTGTGAATGGGTTTGAAGTCAAAGTCAATCAAATGGACTTTTTGGTAGCCGCGGCAAAACCCCAAAAAGTCTATTTCAGTAAAACCCTCTTGCTGCATGCACTGCTGCAGCTGCGGCAGCTCTACACACAGCAGCAGCAGCAGCAGCAGCAGCAGTGGCAGCAGCAGCAGCGGCAGCAGCAGCAGCAGCAGCAGTGAAAAGAAAGGCACACAAACGTGGAGCTGACGAGCTCGCTGCTGCGGTGTCTGTACAGCTGGGAGCAGCAGCCCTGAATAGAATTTAAATTCAAATTTAAATTAATTTAATTTAATTTAAATTAATTTAAATTAATTTAAATTAATTTAAATTAATTATTTTAATTCTTTAATTGCTGCTTACCCTCCCAAACCAGCAGCAGACGCAGCAGCACGCTCACGTCCATTGCTGCGCGCCCCAGCAGGAAGCGGCAGAGCCACTGGATTGCTGCTGCTTCTGCTTCTCTCATTTTGCTGCTGCTGCTGCTGCTGCTGCTGCTGCTGCTGTTACAGTTTGGCTTTATACTCAATTTGAATTTGTGTCTGCAACTCGGTGGCTGCCGGCTGCTGCAGATTACACGCCGCCAGCCAGCGCGCTTGCTGCGCTGCTGCTGCTGCTGCTGCTGCTGCTGTTGCTGCTGCTGCTGCAGCAGCTGGAGCAGCTCCATTCCCACTGCAGCAGCAAGGCAGCAAACGCCGCAGACAGGAAAGCAAAAAGACACAAATATAAACAAAATGCAAATATAAATAAATATGATTTTTATTAATTTAAAAAATAAAAGTACATTAAAATTTAATTAAAAGTAAATAAAATAAAACTGTTAATTTAAACAGACATCACAAGAAGCAGCAAAAGTATATTTCCTAACTTTTATAAATTTCAATTTATTCTGCATTATAAATTCATTTACTCTTTTTGTGCTGCTGCTGCTGCTGCTCAGCAGCAGCAGCAGCAGCAGCAAAGCTGCTGTGGTGTACAGACACCTCGGAGAACGCCTGAAGAAGCAAATGCAAAAGCCAAAGAGAAAAATAATTAAATTAAATTAAATTAAATTAAATTAAAAATAATAATTAAATTAAATTAAATTAAATTATAAATAATTATTTAATTTATAATAAATGAAGCTTAACTCGTTGAAGTTGCTGCTGCTGCCAGCAGCAGCAAAGCGCCGAAGCAGCAGCAAACTGGCCACTCGAGAAAATAATGAAATAAATAATAAATAAATAACTAACTAAATAAATAAATAAAAATAAATAAATAAATAGAAATAAATAAATAGAAATAAAAATAAATTAATAATTTATTCAAATTACTTACTTCCAAATAATTGTCCAAGTTTAGCCAGCAGCAGCAGCAAAGAGGCCTTAGGGGGCAGCAGGATAAATTGCTTCGCGGTCCTGCTGCTGCTGTTGCTACTGCTGCTTTTGCTGCTGCTGAAGGCTTTGCTGCTGCTGCTGCTGCTGCTGCAGCTCCGTACCGCCGCCGCCCTGCTGCTGCTGCCCGCCGAGCTGCTGCTGCTGCTGCTCTCTTTCTCCGCAGCTTTCTTGCTAGAAGAACCCATGCAGCTGCTGCTGCTGCTCTCGATCTCACAGCCTGCTGCTGCTGCTGCCGCTGCTGCTGCTGCTGCTGCAAAAGCTGCGTCAGCAGCTGCAGCGCAACCTCGTGCTGCCCTGCTGCTAAGGCTTGCAGTTGCAGCACAGCAGCAAACAGCCGCCAGTGCTGCTGCAGCACATGAGCAACAACAGGCAGCAAATCAATACCGCGAGCACCTGCTGCTGCTGCTGCGCCTGTTGCTTCTGCTGCTCCTCCTGCTGCAGCAGGTGCTGCTGCTGCTGCTGCCTTTGCTGCTGCTTCTGTTGGCTGCAGCAGCGCCGCTTGGGGAGGAGGCGGAAGCACCAAGAGACCTTCTGCTGCTGCCCCTGCTGCTGCTGCTGGTGCTGCTGTTGCTGCTGCTGCTTCTCCGTCTATGAAGACGCGGAGATTGTTCTGCGGCTGCTGCTGCAGCTGCTGCAGCTGCAGCAGCAGCAAATTCAGATTGTCAATTCCAGCAAAAAACAATTCAGGCTCGTATTCAGAGCAAACGAACTCAGGCTGCTGCTGCTGCTTGTGCTGCTGCAGTTTGAACTGCTGCTGCAGCTGAAATCTGCTTCTCATTCCCTCGGGCATTTCTTTAAGGCCGCATTTTGGCTTCACTTCCACACAAATATAACGCACACCTGCTGCTGCTGCTGCTGCTGCTGGCGCTGCTGCTGCTGCTGCTGCTGCTGGCGCTGCTGCTGCTGCTGCTGCTGGTGCTGGTGCTGCTGCTACTCGCGCTGCTGGTCCTGCTGCTGCTGGCGCTGATGTTGCTGCTGCTGGCGCTGCTGGCTCTGTAGCTGATGGTGCTGTTGGCTCTGCTGCTGCTGCTGCTGCGTTGCTGCCGTTTGCTGCTCCTGTTTGCTGCAGCAGCTGCTGCAGTGCTTTCGGAAGGGTTATGAAATTTGTCTCCACAGAAAAGGAGACACAGCTGCTGCAGCAGCAAATGCCTGAATGCACAGCATCTGCTGCTGCTGCTGCTGCTGGCCTGACATCCGCCGCTGCTGCTGCTGCCGTTTCAGCTGCTGCTCCTGCCGCTCCGGGTGCTGTTCCTGCTGCTGGCCTAGTCGCTGCTGCTGCTGCTTCTGCTACAGCTGATGCTGCAGCAGTTGCAGCAGCAGCAGCTGCTGCTGCCGCTTCTGCTGCGTCCTTGCTGCTGTGCTGCTGCTGCAGCCTGCATGCACTTGCTTCAGGTGTACGTACACCGCGAGTTGCCTTCGCCCAGAGCCTTTTGCTGCAGCTCCGGCAGACACCGTGGGGTGTATGTTGAGCTGCTGCTGCTGCATTAAAAGGAATTAAATTGGACTTATTTATTTTATTTATTTTATTTGTTTCATTTCTTTCTTTTATTTCTCTTGTTTCTTTTGCTGCTGCTGCTGCTGCAGTCCCTTTACAGAAACCGCTTTTGCTGGTGTGGCTCACGTCGCTGCTGCTGCTGCGGTCAGCTTCTGCTGCTGCTGCTGCTGTTGCTGCTGCTGCTTCTGTTGCTGCTGCTGCTTCTGTTGCTGCTGCTGCTGCTGCATCAGGCGTTGGTGAGCCACGCTGCCGCATGCAGCGAACAGGCAGTGCGCAGCCAAATGCACCCTCTGCAGCAGCAGCAACAGTTGCTGCTGCTGCTGCTGCTGCTGCTGTTGTTGTTGTTGCTGCTGATGCTGGTGCTGCCGCTTCTTCCGGTGCTGCTGCGACGTGCGTGTCTGCTGCTGCTG